GTGAACATGCTGACTTGCGTTTAAAGGCCACCTTTCCAAGGTAGTGGATCTGATAGTTACTGCCATTTTCTATTGCCTTTAGAAGAAAAGATGTGAGGCTTATTGGTCTGAAACATTTGGGGTCTGTCCCATCCTTCTTACCTGCCTTAGGCATGAAAGAGACTCTTGCCTTTTTCCATATTTTAAGTAGGTATATATATTCTATATCGTCATACGGCTTTTGGTTATATCTACGAGGTGTGGCATTGGTCTCTATTTTTCTCTTTGTAGGAGTGCTGGAAAGATCTCGTCCACTCCCGGCGATTCGAGAGGTTCGAATGTATTTAATATGCCCGTTCAAGCCTCTTATTATAGTAAGTACTATTTTTGCTGTTTTCCAGGTCTCCCTAGTGGGCCGGCGATCTTGAAGTGATCTTCATCATCAGTTATTAATGGGTTTAGTGCCAGATTATTCTGTCAATCTCGACAAATATTGCCTTATGGTCAAATAATATACTACTGCAACATATGACACTAATTATATTCCAGATTGGTAGACATTATCCAGAGAACCGTTGCCCCTAGTTGCGAGTAGAAATTGACTCATCAATCATCTCAATACCCCGCTTAATCATCTTCGAAAAATCAACACTCTGTTGTTCTAGTAGTCTCCATCCGGAAGACGATAGATGGTGCAAATCTGAACGTCAGCGTACATTAGAACCTGAAACTTGAAATCAAGTTCAATAGACAAGCAACTCTTTCATTGGTCCTTCTTGGTTTTTAACTTTTCAGACTATACTAAAATCTGGTATATTTTTATTGGTCAACTTGATCTTTCCAATGTTGTTGAGAAACATTTCTAGTGTTTTAGGATGAGGCAGCGTAGGCTTTACAAAATCTATATGAAGTTACCAGTTGAATAGTCAACAAAAATATTCTATCAATCTACAGTAGTGCCTCCGTACAAATATGAAAATCAGATACCCGCATTGTTAGTGAAGCATTTTCTTAAGGAACATCTCCTGAATAACCTTCCAGTGCCTGACGGAAAGTTACAATTTGGACATTATTCAGTAGAATCATCAAATGACCGAGGTGCTCGTGCGAGGTGTGAAAGAATCTTTTCATTCTTCAGTTGTCGTTCATTCACAACACTAAAGAAATATCTTACCAGTTGATTAGATTTTTGAATTGATAAAGTTGAATTATTTCTTCTTGAAAACAACCTATAAGTACCAGATTCAAAAAAAGGCCAATATAAGGCGGACATGGAAAAGTCCCAATGACAGAACCCATTATAAAATGGATTTCTTCATTACCAATAAACTATAGGTAGGTATATATTTAAAGATATCACAATTCTAAACAGATTTACAACATCGAGCGACCACAAATTAGTTAGAGCTGATCATTTGATCAAAAAGAAAACTGAAGCGTGGATACCTGATACCTCCAACAAACGAGGCAGTATTTCGACAATATATTGACAATAATAATAGATACAATTAAACAAGCACAAAACAGCTTCTGTCGAAGAACAGAAAATTAGCCAAGAAACTAAAATAAAAATGGAAGAACGAAGACAAAAAATAAGTGACCTAAACGCGGAACCACACGAGCTAAGAACATGCGATAGGGAAATATCAAATGCCATGAGAAGAAAACCATAAATGGCAAAAGAGAAATATTCCAACTCAAAAACTGGTAGTTACGGTAATATAGTAACGGACAGTGTTGCCAGATCTCACGATTATTCGTACGATTGCACGATTTTGGTCAGAATTTCACGATCTCACGAATGACGTACCTACCTAGCAATTCTCACGAATTCTCTGTGTATAGTAAATCAAATCACTAATCAAATATAATGTACCTAATCGAGAATAATCGAAATAAAAATCTACCATACAATATTTAGTTATGTTACGCCACTCCTGGTACATGCGCGCCTGAATACTTAGGCCTGCTTCTCATGAGCGTAAACTTGACATAACTGGCGGAAATACTGAATTCGTGAATTTTGGCGCAACATTCACATGGAATGGAGAATCAACGCCGCCGCGTATGTCAAAATTATGTATTTTTTTTCTTATTTTGAAATATTTCTTAAACGAAACGGTTGCAATCTTAACCTCTGAAAACGCTGAATTTTTACGCGAAAAGTTGAACTTTGCTCGACTTTTGGCGTATCTGCGGCAGAGTGTAAGCATATCCAATATGGCGGGACTTTGACCAATCAGAGTTCTGCATTCAGGTACGCTACTGTCACGCTATGAATGTCAAATTACGCTCATGAGAAGCCACCCTTAATGTAATATACAGTCTATTTTTTCCCAAAATAGATTTTGACAATGACAACTTTGAAACATAAACAATGCCGCTCATTGGTCGCAAGATGCCTTGTACCTGCATTCGTCGAAGGTATCGTTTTCCAGCCATGTAAAAGGATACCTCACCTACAAGGAGACAGCATTTTGCAACTAATCAGAGCCACGCGGTATTGTTTATGTTTCAAAGTTGACGTCAAAATCTATCTTGGGAAAAAATGGAGTGTAGAAATGCTTATTGAGCTGAAAGTGGGCTCAGTAGACCTGGCCCCCCCCCAGTTGATAATTTTTATTCAAAACGCTAGCCCTCGTTCTCCAGAGCTAGCGCAACCTAGCGCAACTTTTTCGAAAGCTAGCGCAGCTACAGGTCAAAAGATATGTGGCTTTATATTCGGGGGGGGGCTAGGGTGACGCCAACCCCCTCCCAGTTATTCGATCTTCTCAAAAATGCTGGCGCACATTCGTAACACCTAGCGCAGCCTAGCGCAAGTTGTGTCATAGCTAGCGCAGCTATCGTAGCTGTCATACAGGGTGGACAAAAAAAATAATGAGCCCCTTGTCACTTGTAGGGGCTCATGATTTTTTTGTCCACCCTGTATGCCAGCTACGATAGCTGCGCTAGCTATGACACAACTTGCGCTAGGCTGCGCTAGGTGTCACGAATTTGCGCTAGCCTTTTGAATAGGATTTAACAACTAGGGGGGGCTAGCGTCGATCTAGCCCCCCCCCGAATAGATACCTGTATACGTTTTGAAGGGGTAATGCGGTTGTTCGAATTTTACCTGCGCTAGCTTTAAGGAATATTCATATATATTTTTGAAAACTTAAAAATCACTTGTAGGGGCTCATGATTTTTTTGTCCACCCTGTATGACAGCTACGATAGCTGCGCTAGCTATGACACAACTTGCGCTAGGCTGCGCTAGGTGTTACGAATGTGCGCCAGCATTTTTGAGGAGATCGAATAACTGGGGGGGGCTAGCGTCACCCTAGCCCCCCCCCCCCCCCCGAATATAAAGCCACATATCTTTTGACCTGTAGCTGCGCTAGCTTCCGAAAAAGTTGCGCTAGGTTGCGCTAGCTCTGGAGAACGAGGGCTAGCGTTTTGGATAAAAATTATCAACTGGGGGGGGCCAGGTCGACTGAGCCCTGAAAGTGTTTGCTAAGATGATTTGCCATGATCTCTTGATTTGAGATGATGATGATGGAGATGATCATTTGTGAAGTTGTTTAGCAGCCTATATGCTAAAAGAATATCTTCTTCTAAATCATTTAGAATAGTCTCTTCAGTGGATGGAATATAAGAATTTGGACTAATCTGCTTCAACTGCTGAAGAAGATCTGGCCAGTGGTGAAGATGAATCTTGACTGCTTAGGTAATTGCTCCTTTATTTGAAACATTTTCTAAAAAATAACTCACTACAATGCTCTAATTGGTTAAGTTAAATCTAGATTATTCGCTCATCGCCGTCCTCATTTGAAGCATTTTCTATATCATCAAAAGATAGGCTTTTAATCTTAGAATTTGTGATTAGATTAATCTTGATTGAGCTAAATCTTCTCCTTCCTTTGAAGAAATTGCTAAAGGAATCACCTATAGACTTTATTTCATCAGAGTTCATAATTTTGACATAATTTGCCTTCCTTTCCATTGATAAATTTTGTACTTTTTAGAGTAGAATCATCAAATGTGGTAGTTGTAGAAAAATTCCAGGTTGCTTCAATTCAATTACAATTGCCAGCAATAATATTCTCCAAATTTTGAAGTTGGCTTGTTCTTCCTTCCTTCCTTCATACCTTAGCAACGTTGGAATACCTAGCTAACTCTTTCTTTTTTGTCCCTACCAATGTTCAATGCTCAAAGGATCAAAGAAGTTTTGGCTGATTTACCTACGTAATAAAAACTCTTCTGGAGACGACGACTTATCTTCGAGAATATTTCTGCGTTTACCTCACAACGGTCTTTTTGCCCTTGCTCTGGCAATTAACGATTCTTTTTCAAGAGTTGTGCTCCCGGATTGTCTTAAACAACTTGATAGCCTCGTATATATGATCAATTAAGGCTGGAAATGTAAACAATTCATCGATATTCCTCAGCGGCTTTTTTAGTGGTGGGTCTCCTATTTCTAACTTGCTATCTTATGAGACAGTCCTTTTGGATGCTTTGAAGAGCGGGTTTCAGGTAGGCGCAGTATATACACAAACTTCTTTAAGGTATTTGACAGTATTTCATTTATAAACTGATTAACGGAAACATAGACTGTCCCAATCTTAGTAAAATTTTTCTGGAAGTAACATGTTGACCGTTTAGAAGTAGGGTTTTCTCTGTAACTGTGCATGGAACTAATTATGGGGGTCATTCTTCGCTCGCCCGTGGTTTTGCTACATACTACATTCTCACCCTACAATTGATCCTTCTGGAAACTTTTTTGATAGATACTGTAATACTATTTTACGGCCCAAATTGTGATATTGTAGTTGTTTCTTTATTTGGATCGCAATTTGAATCAACTTATATCTTCTAAGCTCTGTCTGCCTGAATCTTATCTTGACTTAATGGATCAAATGTAGAAGAGCCTTTTCTGTGCTATCATTATCATTTTTGCATTTTTGGTTTATTGTTGCAACAGTTCAGTTGTTGTAGGATATCCTACAGTTGTTTCAAGTTTGTGAGAGTATAAAACCAAAAATATATAAATAAAAATAGAACACCAGTCAAATATTTATTATATTTACAATATACACACACACATTAAACCACTCCCGATAACAAAATACTATAAAGCTTATAATATAATACATAGAATACATTGCTAATAAAGGAATTATTATTTTTATCACAGATGTTTAAGCCATCGGGTTTCTTTTCATCAATGCAATGTCGGCTTCCATCATTTCATGCACAAGTTCCAAAAACGTCACTTTCGGTGCCCACCCAAACTTTTCTTTGGCTTTAGTTGGATCACTCAAGAGCAAATTCTAATTTAAATTCAAAAGAAAAAAGTATTTAGTATTTTAGGCTAGAAAACAAAGCATTCTAGCATTGAGTCTTGACTAGTAACACATTTGAATCAATAACAAATTCCTGGATTACTCTAATTACTCACCACATCTGTGGGCCTGTAATACTTGGAGTCAACTCTAACTCTAATTTCCCCGCTATCCTTTTCCTTGCCAACTTCATGGACTCCTTCGCCTTCCCAAACAATTTCCTTGCCGACATGCTTGAAAGCTTCCTCTACAAATTCCTTAACACTGTGAGTTTCTCCAGTACCAATGACGAAATCGTCAGGCTTATCTTGTTGAAGCATCAACCACATTGCCTAGAAAATATAATAATGGATGTGTGTTATATCTGGAACATTTTCCAGAGAACTTCCCTCATATATGAAGTAAAATCTAAGAGAATGCAAAAAGCGTGAAAAGACGACACGGTTTAAGGTACACGGAGCATTTTCCCTTGCAAAATCTGCAAGTAATAAAGAACGCGTCGAGACAAGCGCAGCCTTTACGAAATTTACTTTATTTCTTCCTTATATTATATTTACCGTCATATACTGTATAATATAATGTTGGGAAAGACATATTTTTCAAGAGTTAGAGGTATATAATGAATATCTCTAGCACTTTAAGTTTGTTTTAATCCCTCAGGGCCACTTTTTTCTTTAGAATAAAACCCATCAGATGCTACTTTAGAGGACAATCAAAAATTCGTTTGCAACCGCTCAAAGTTAAATTTAGGCTAGTGCGAATTTCATGACTGTGCCAGGGGGTGCCTATCAATGATTTCCTCTCTATGAGCTTGCCTCTAAAGTTCGATTTGATATAGGGAAAAAAAATGAAAAGTTTCAAGTGAGCAAGATTGACGGATTATGGATAAAATTCTGTTAATATTATATAAGTTTGAGCTCGTTGACATTTCACAGTCGCAAGAAAGTCTTATTTCCTCTCGCATGGAATCACTTATTACCCTAGCAAAAAAAAAACTAGTAAGTAATAAAACTTGCATATAGTTTCCCTTTGGGGAATTTTATGAAGGAGATTCTACGAGAATTTCTCTCAGTTTTAAGGAAAGTGTGCGGATTTTTTCCAATTTTGTGGTCTTTTTGGTAGATTTTGAGACACTGTTATAATTAATTCAATGAACTCTAATGAATGATGAAAAATTACCTCTCTAAAATGATCAGAAGTCAATGTTTCAATTCAATTTTCTGCCATGGTAGAGCCAGAAACGAAATTTCCATTCAAATTTAGGATCTATGGTTATAAGAATGTGATTTCATGGAGAGCTGTTTTAACCTTAACAATCAAATTACCACCTACCTCAACGTAATCTTTGGCATGTCCCCAATCCCTCTTAGCAGTCAAATTACCCAAAACTAAGCACTCGCTCAGTCCCAAATGGATTTTGGCAACTTCCCTCGTCACTTTTCTCGTAACGAAAGTTTCACCTCTCCTAGGACTCTCATGGTTGAACAAAATACCATTACAAGCAAACATATTGTAAGCATCCCGATAGTTGATCACAATCCAATAAGCATACAGCTTGGCACAAGCATAAGGCGATCTAGGATTGAACGGGGTCTCTTCGTTTTGCGGAATCGCTTTGACGTCACCGTACAACTCGCTGGTGGATGCTTGATAGAATTTGCAAGTTTGGTCCAGACCGCAAGTTCTGATGGCGTCCAGCAGTCTCAAAGTACCAACAGCGTCGACTTCAGCAGTGTACTCGCTTAAATCGAACGATACTTTTACGTGGCTTTGAGCGGCCAAGTTGTAGATTTCCGTCGGTTTTACTTTGCTGATGATTTTCACTAGGCAACTAGAGTCTATCATGTCGCCGTAGTGCAAAAACAGTTTGCCACCTGAAAGAATGGTTGGACACTCAGTAAAAGAAACTCGACTGATATTAATTTCACTTAAACTATCTCAAATTTCTCTTAAATTGCCTCAGAAGAGTATTTTGATAACCGAACGCTACTTCTCTTCTCAAAACTGAAGACTGCAGCCAGCTGAAATTAATCCACATAGAAGTCGTGTTAACCTCTGTCTAAGAGCCTCTGTATCAGAGCTGTGTAGAAACTTTACATTACTTTAAAGGTAGTACAACTTTTAGACAGGCCTGTATAGGTATAGTATTTTTAATACCTATTTGAAAGTACCAATTAATAAAAAATATACACGTTCATAGTGTTCATACAAAGTCTCCTACTTTATTTATTGATTTGTGATAGGTTGGTAAAATCTGTTTTTTTTTTTTAAGATAATTCCCCAAGTCACAAATTCAGTAACTATGTTGGCAACACAAGCCTTTTCTACATAAAAAATTTGAAAGCATTGACAATTTTACATTATATTGCCAACATAATGTCATTTTGACTTTTATCTTTAAAAAAAAAAACAGATTTTAATTTTTTGTTTCATCCGATTCATGATTGATAAACAACGATGGAGTTGTTCCAAATGGGTATTAAAAATACTGTGACGATTCGCCAGGCTGTCAAGAATCTCTCGGTATTCCCTATTGAGCATTCTAGAATCTAGCGAATCATTCTATTTAATTCGGGAAAATAAGATTATCGTGTGTATTCTAGATTTTGCAGGAATAGATTTAGGGATATATAAAGGCGGCTATTGCTTTGTAGTAGTTAGTTAAAGTTTGACTGTGATACGATTTAAATAGTGATTATTGCGAGTTGTAAGAGTTTAATTGTTGAGTTAGTTATTAAAGTAATTAGTGTCAGAGTGTATTGTTAAATGGAATAAATTATTGCTGTGTTAATTGGACTTTGATTTTTTGAATAAACGAAACGAACAACGAACACAAGATTTCTGTCAGGCAACCCAAAGCCGTGACATTGGTGTCAGAAGTGGGATATAAAGGACTGCAGAGTGAAATCCAATTGCGGAAGTGCTGGGACAGTTAGTGCAGTGCAAACAGTGACAATCACAAAAAGAGACTTAACTGATGGTGTGAATTACCCGGAAGTGACTCTATACCCGATTTTGACTATAATAGTGAATCTTCAAGTGAGTTCTAGAAAATTCTATTTGGAAACTAAGAGAGATATCGAATTTGTGACTTCGCCGACGTATTCGGAACATCAATCGTCATTCAGAAGAGGTTTTTCGAGGAGTTTCGGGAAAATTCTAGAACATTCTATTTGGAAACCAAGGGAGATATCGAAATTGTGACTTCACCGACGTGTTTGCTGTATCAATCGACATCTAGAAAACTAGATCAATTTGAAAATAATATGATTTTTTTAAAAACCTAAGAACCCTTTTAAATAGTGACCTTTGTGAGCATAAGGATCAGCATGCAGATGATCTATCCTAGTCGTGTTGAAACTACTGGCCCTCCTTATGATTCCGTGCACCTCGTAGCCTTTGTCCAACAAAAATTCTGCCAAATAAGATCCATCCTGAAAAAAATAAAGGGATTAATGAATTGATAAATTGGACAAAAATAATTGTTATGTTAAATCTTGAAATACCTAAAGGAATTAACTGATAAAATGATAAAAATGTTCACAAATATTTATTGTTTTTTGCAATTGATGGGCAAAAAATTTAAATGAAAAACTCAAGGTTTATTATGTTGGCGATTAAATTTGTAGACGTGTAAGCAAAATAGGGAGTTTGTTTGAATTTCAAATTTCCCGCTTTCTTGAAAGGGTAGAACTTTAAAAATTTAAAGCCAATCTACTTTGCTTTGACAGCCTATTGTTGTTGTTTTCATGTTTTGACTGTGACATTTTAACCCAACTTTTTAATTAATTAATTAATTGTTAAATACAGTCGAAACTAAAAAAAGTATACGTGTTAATACAGGAACACTAGAAGAAACATTTTAATAAAAATCGATTTCTTACTTGTCCATTGATCCCAGTAAGCAAAGCCACTTTTTTACCTTCACCGCAAGCCATTTTCACGTAAAACTTGATTAATTTTAATTGTAAATGTTCACTATTTAACTAGAAATTAACTGTGATAAGATTGATAAGCTTTTCAAGTGATGTTTTTGTTGTTAAATTGCCAAGTGGACCGAGAAGCCGGCCCTTTAAATAATCATAACAAATGACGTGTTGTCAATAGAAATGGAAATCTTTAGTTAGTTTAACAAGTAAAGCATAGATGGCGCCATGTGATAAAATTTGAAAAATAGGCAAGTTTTATTGAAAAATAGGCTTTTTGAGGCTGGAGCTATTATAATTTAGCTTCAAAATGCCTCAAATTAGAGTTTAAATTAAAATCGGGCCTATTTTTTTGAGGTTTTAATTAATATAAGTTTTTGTACAAGTAGCTTATTGTACAGAATCATAGAGGGCGCCAGTTGAAAATCAGCTGATGTGATGTGTGATGATTGCATTGATTTATAATTTCCAAAATAAACAAGAGTAATTTTTAATTTTTAAATCAAATAATGGTGAAAATGAAGTGTATATTAGTGTCCCTTGTGGTGTTTTTGAGTGTTTCAGTTGTCCAAGTACGTATGTCATTAGATAATTCTTAGAGAAACTTCATTTCGGTTCTAAATTGATTTCTCCAAAACAAATTCTCCAATTTGTATGTGGCAACCCTCACAGATATTTCATTGTCTGAATTGACGTGAAAAAGAGTAAAAGTAAATGTATACCCGAGGGTGTACCATATCCTCGACCATATCATACCAGATCCTCCTTAGCTAAGAAATAAAAAAGTCTTATTGTTACCAGTTACCTCCAACGGTAGGTACTGAGGAGTAATCATCAGTGTACAAGCCTCATGTAATCCCATGTATTCTTATGTATTCTCATGTGTTCATATGTATTCCTTTGTATTCACATCGAGGGGTGTTTCTGCAGTAGGTGTACAAATATCATACAATCATGTATATACAGTCCATATATTCTCATGCAGTCATAATATAGTCGCTTGCAATCGTTATAAACTCTGTGCAGTATGAGGCGCGAAAAATTGAAAGCAGTTGCTGCAAGTGAAGCCTGCAATCTTGTTAGAAATTGCTCAAAAGTCAATGCAGTTAACTATCATCTTTGAGCAATCAATGCAGCCAAATACAGTAGGGTGTACAAAATTTAGTGGGTGAAACACCCCTCGATTGACATAATATTCTTATGTATTCTCATGTATTTTTATGTATTTTCATGGGACATGATATTGGATGTAGTTAATAAATAAGCAGTCTTTAAATTTAATATTATGAATTATATGTATAAAATATGAAAATAATAGTTTGTACACTTATTCTAACTGAGAGTTGTTGCATTTCAAATATCCCTAGCATTTCCCTGTAAGTAACCAACAATGGAAAAGATGGATAAACATTGAACTTTGTTCATATGTATTTCTATGTATTCTTATGTATTCCTTTGTATTCTCAAAATACTCAATTGAAGTGCACTGCGAGGTATCACGAATCTATATCAAACCACTTAATATGCAGATATTTATTTACAATATACAGATCATCTGATGGAGATCTTGATATTTACTTCAAAACACTTCCTCAAGTTTTAAGCAAGATCAACCTTTCCACTCATACAATCATTACCGGTGACTTTGATGTTCATTTTGTGGCTGCAAATAGCAAAAAGGTCAAATATCTGAATTTATTTTTCAACTCATTTATTTATTTATTTATTGATAACTCTGCAAACACCCTGGGTAATTACAAGCAAAGTCACTACAAACGCATATCTTAGAGAGAAAAAGGATCCAGAAGAATTACATCCACAAACTCTAGGATGAGCGCAATAACTTTTTCAAGGAGCGTTCCTTGACATTAATAATGTTCAAATCACGCCTCCTTAATATTTCGTTACCAATAGCTAAAATTTTACTAATTGGGGATAATGTGTTTATAACAATAAATAAATCTCTATGTAAAATCCTTAATTGTACCTTAGCTACTCTAAAATATATATAGTTGATAAGATCACAGTTATTATACTTGAATGAATGAACATCACAGCCTGTATATTTCTTCTCTCAACTAAAGTAGAAAACTCGAAAGTTTCAAGCAACAACCTTATTAAACCATATGGGTATGCATTATTTTTCCTCACATACAAAAATCTACGGAAACGTTTTTGTACTTTTTCAATATGATCTATATCGAGATCTATATGAATTGATGTTGTTGTAGGTAACCATATATTTTATTCATATTCCAAATGTGGCCTCACATAAGTATTATAGAGCCTGACAATGGTTGAGATCTGAAAATTCTTGCTATTGCATATCACAAAGCCAAGAGCCTTATAGGCTTTGGCAGCAATGGTATAATAATGATTATTAAATTTTAAGTTTAAGCTCTGATGAAATGTAACTCCCAAGTCTATAATCTCTGATTTTCTGTTTAAAGCGATCCCACTTACGAAATAATCATCTCTAAAGTAATCAATTTTTTTTGTATAAGTGACCACCGCACACTTGTTGATGTTAAGGCTCATTTTGTTTACCCCAAGCCAATCTACAACAGAGTCAAGATCAGATTGCAGCTTAATACAATCTGTGCCATCAACTATCGTTCTAAACAATTTAAAATCGTCCGCATATAGTAGGCCAATGGACCATGAAAATAAATGTTAGTGGCCTTACTAGCAAGTTCTGGTTACCCTTATAAATATAAGAGGGTATACCTTCTGCTCCAGTTGATTTTTTTGGTTTTAATTTTGTTATACTTGTTGAAATGTCAGCTTCTGTTATTTCTGAAAAATTAAAAACAACATTCTATTTTTCCAGTTCAATGTTTTGAGAGATATTATACACTGATGCAAAATGCTGCGCAAAGGCATCCACTATACTCTTTGGATCACTGAACCTGACCACCCCGTTTGTCATTTCAACCAGCACCCCACCAGTACTCGATTTACTGTGAATATAAGACCAAAAAGAGCTGAGATTCTGAGATCCGTCTGTATACATTGCTCAGCAGATCTTAGATGTTCCAAAAGCTCAGTTTTTGTTTGAGACTTAACTGTCTGCCTCAGTAACATGTATCTGTCCTGTTCTGCTCTGTTGGCTTTTCCCCTATTAATTTTGCCATGTAACCTATTCTTTAATCTGTTTTTACGTACCAGGTCAATAGAGAACCACATGGGATATTTAACATCGCTTCTGGAATCCATGGTTTGATACTTAGGTACTGAGGCATCTAATAGCCTATAATAGTATATTATATAATAAGTGTGGTAACTAGGTTATTACCGCACGCAAAATAGTGTAATATACCTTAGTTACCGCACGCTTGTAGATAAAGAATCTTATAAAATACTCCACAGCTCGTTTCAGAGTTCTGAGACTGCCATAGCTCTGACCAGTCACAGCTACAGAGTAACTGATACAAAAGAATATAATTTCCCTTAGAAAAATCATACACATATTTCTTGGGCCAATGCTGGTCAGCCTGAGCTTCCTCAAATGATATGTTTATCAAAAGAGCTAGGTGGTACGGGTCTTCTATGACAAGGGGACCAAGGGGACTGCCAGATCCACCGACACTTAAAAGCACACTAGAATTAGAGACGATTGGATCCAACGTTCTATTGTAACATACCGCAATAACATGGTCACCTGCAGGTGCCCAGAATGATTATGACGTGTCTGATACAACATGACAAAGATATAAAAATTACTTTAACCTTTTGAGAAATAAAGATTTATTCTATTGAACGTTTAAAGTGAATATCTAATAAATAAAACATGGTGTCAGTATTGTGGAAAAGGTGGTAAGAAAATACAAGTTTTGGAAGAAAGTTTGAGCTAGAATGAAAGCTTCTGTAGAAAAAGGTTGGAAAAAAAAATTACACCACCCAATATAGCAGCCATTTTTAAAGCACCAAAGAGCATAGCTTTTGACCAGCATGTAGTTCAAAGTTTTGAGAAATTTTTGAGTTCTTTTAAAATTTATATGAAAGCAGCTGGATTTGATAAAAAAGATGATTAAACAAGAATCGCAATGTTCCTCAACCTAGCAGGGGAGGAAGCTCAGGATGTATTTAATACATTTAAATTAAGTGATGTTGAAAGTAAGAATTATGGAACTGTAATAAAAACATTTGAAACGTACTGCAAGCCCTTAAGAAACGAAACATATGATAGGTTCAATTTTTTCACCAGAAATCAACAAGAAGGTGAGGAGTTCGATCACTTTTTAACCGAAATTAAAATATTGGCTAAAAACTGCAAATTTGGCGACCTGCATGACTCACTGATAAGGGACAAGCTAATAAGTGGAATATTGGACATCGCATTGCAGGAGAGGTTATTGAGAACAGAAAACTTAACACTTGAGTTAGCAGAGGCTCAGTGTAGGATGTCAGAAGCAAGTAAACACCAAATGAAAGGCTTAAGAAATACTGAACAAGTAGACAGTATGAGGTTTAACAAAGTTAATGGTAGTTCTACACAAGAAAAGGAATATATGTAATTGCTTTAAATGCAATACAAAACATATGGACCAAAAAGTTGCAAAGTGTATGGTAAGACATGCTTAAAATGTGGCAAAATGCATCATTTTGCTGTTGGTTGTAAAATCAACGACAGCAAGTTAGGTAAGAACTTTAGTGATATGAATTTTACAAAGAAAAAGCGTAAATATGTATATGAGGTTGAAAGTAGTAGCGAAAGTAGTTCTGAGAAAAGTGCAACTTCATCTGGTCCATATACAGGGTGTTCCACGGTGGATGGCGTATTAGACGTTTATGGAGAACTAAAAAGCGGATTATTTTGAAAATCACTACAAACATTGCAATTTCTAATGGTAAGAAGTGTTATTTGGAATTCTGTACGGGCTCCAACAGGAATGCTCTGTGGCAACGCCTTAAAAGACTTGACATTGTCGGAAACACAAAAAACTCAACATCACTACCAGAAGCATTAAATCAGCCAAACGAAATAAATGAGTTTTTCCTTAACTACTCTGGTGTAAGTTCTAGGGTGGGCCCAGAGCTTATAAACTTTTATCAGCAGAGCAAAAAAATGCAATTTTAGGGAAATGTTTGCTTTTCAAACAGTTACTACAGAGGAAGTCGAGAAACAATTGTATAACATAAAATCCTTAGCATTTGGGTCCGACTTGGTAAACTACCAAATGATTATTTTGTGCTGTCCAAAGATCTTACCATGCATAACTAATATAATAAATTCCTGCATTTTGGATAGCATATTTCCATCTTCGTGGAAAGTAGCAAAAGTAAAGCCATTGCCAAAGAAAGCCTCACTAGAAGAATACAATGATTTACGACCAGTAAGTATTTTACCTTCCCTATCAAAAATATTAGAAAAAATAATGGATTTGCAAATACGAGAGCACTTGGACAAATACAAAATTCTTCCCGAACATCAATCAGGTTTTAGGCCTGGTTATAGCTGTGTAACGGCGCTTACAAATATAACTGATGACATTTTTGCTGAGAACGATGACGGAAAAACGACAACCTTGATTTTACTCGATTATTCCAAGGCCTTCGACACAGTTCACCA